TCGGATGTACGGTGTCGGAGATAATTTCTGAGGGGAGGGCCCTTAATACAGGTCGAAAATGTTGAAAGAAAAAGTTAATTTACATAAATTGTCCGTTCCTACCACTTAATACGGGAAAAAAAAACATGTGTTTTCTTTGCACACAAAATTTGTGTATTACGTTCAAACCACTATGTCCACTTTGTATGATAAAATTCAATTGAATAATAAAGGCACAAACTTGACGCATGAAAAATACGACCAAAGATACTGCGGTCAGATATATGAATATGTATATAGGAATATTTGTTCGTCAACAGAGTTAATATACAACCGTTAGTAAATTACCTTCTTTTTAAATATATTCAATATATAAACTGATTAATAATGTAACAAGTGTAACAAAATAAATTTAGAGTTTTGGCACGAGGCCTTACCTCTTTATAATGTGTTTAATATAAGCTACTAATTTTGTACACAAATGCATTCCAAGGAAGCAGTGTCCAATGCGCTCTTCTCCCTCAGATAAACTTAAACTTTGCCAGGACTGCCAAAATTGCTGAGAGAAGAGCGTACTTTTAGATGCGTATGTGCAGAACAAAAGAACATTTTTTCATTCCAAATCCGTTCTTCCAGCTATTTTCCAGTCAGCAGCAGACTTCTCACAGCCACTTGGCTTATATTTTGATAGAATAGAAGGAAAAGAAATCAAAATTTTAAAAAAAAGAAATTTTAGTAGTTGTTCTTTTTTACTCTGCCTCGCAACTATAGCTCGAACATAAGTTAAGCTATTAGTATATGTGATCTTTTATAAATGAGCCAAGATAAATTTAAATAAGTTTTGTCACGCACACTTCTTTATCAATGATACATCTGATCAAGATGGTTCCTTCATACTTTATGTTCAGTATATTGTGTAGATGTGCCCATTCATCAGCAAAAATTTAACTGATCTGTATTTGTTGAGCTATTTTGGAAATAGCATATTGTTTTCCGTATGTTTTGAAAACTATTCATCATATGACTCATAAGCGCACAGTAGATAATTAAAATAGATATAATGATAGAGGACGATCAGAAAAAACATATTTGTTTAACGTTGATTATATCACAGTCGATACACATGAAAAAAAAAATAATTAAAGTAAAATTTAACGATTTCCTTGAAGGATTAAATGATTCAGATAAAAAAGATTTTCAAGCTTTAGCGGACGATGTTAAACAACGAGGTTTTATTTTGAAATCAAAAAAATTTAAACTTTATTATAATATTAGATTCAATTGTGTTCGTCGTATTGAGAAAGTTTATTGACAGTCAATATCATCAGTATCATATACAAATAAAAAACCAATTTATCAACAACCAAAACGCTTATTTAACATACACATGCGTTCTGATCTTTACTATTATTCTAGCTATTACTCACTGTTCATTTTGCGCTTTTCTTCTTTTTCCTATCATTTAAAGTTTTCTTGTTCATTTTATACATTTCTCCAAAAACCTACTGCTTCTTAGATTTCTACCGATTATAATTGATCAGTTAAAGTACTATATGAAATCGCGAGACAGGGACCGATCTACCAAGATCTTGTTAATTAAATTACAATATGATTCCATTAAATGCTTTTGTAATAAAACAATTTGGCAGACATTAATACAACCGCAGTATGGATTCGTGGCGTGGTCAACCCGTTGGCTAGAATATGTTCTCGTCAAAGCCTAAACATTTCTTTTCTATTGTACGAAATGCTCCGGAATAACAACACACTTCTTCCGACAACTTCTAAAAATTTTTGGTAGCGAAAATCCCGGCTACGCCCAGTGGCGGATTTAGCACTACGGCGATCCGGCGACCGCCACCCCCTCCCAAATGGAATTCTAATGCAAGTACACTAACAGACTTCCTTAGAAAAAATATTCATACTACCCCGGACCATAGATGTAACCGGTCAAGATTTTCTCGACCGGGTCGATAACCGGTCGAAAAATTTCTGACCGGGCCGAGCCGGCTAGTCGGCCGGTCATATATTTTCCTAGTGTGTAAGTGTAAAAGCCTAACGACAGAGGAGTGCTAAGGCTTCTGGAAAAACGTCCATAGCTCCGAAACCATGGATTTCCAAGGTGTCTCTTAGATCCAGTTTTGTAGAGGACACTTCGGACTATATATGTCTGAAAACAAATCCATAGATTTCTATGTCAGCTTTCAGAGAACCGAACTGGTTTTCCACACATCTCCAGAGCCTTGTATTTTAGCGCCGATAATAGTGCAACAAACATTAAAAAAGAAAGAAAAACGAACGGAATATTCACATAGTAGAGATTAACAGTCCTACTCTCGAAGACTGTTGACAAAAAAGAGAAAACCAAACTAACTTCCTTAATCTGAAATATGAAAAGCTTTGCTTTACTTAGCTCAGCAAATTCGTTTTCGACAAAGTACTGATTTTTCAGACAAAAAAACATTTTTTTCTCGACCGACCGGTCAGAAATTTCTGACCGGTCATATCTCTGCCCCGGACGACATCGTTTAGAAATCGCCACCCCGTCGGTAGAATCCTGGATCCGCCACTGGCTACGCCACTAGTATGGATCGCTATTGACGTAGCTCCTGATTGAAAGGTCAAAAATGTTAAAGTTTTTGTTTGTCACTACACCAACAAGAAATATGAGAACAGCCAGAAAAACTATGCCATTGAAGTTTAAAAGCTATTTTGATGCCTCAATTTACATAAAATTTTCTTGAACAGTAAGCATGTTTCTCTTAGACTGTTCTTTTACAGCTGACGATATATGCACAGATTCTTGAATTTTTCCTATAACATACGCCACTTTAGTTCGATTCGAGCATAGTCGATTATTTAATAAGATTGAGCAAATTTACTACCACAAGGTATGTAAAATTACATCCAGATGTGTAAGATCATAGAGCCTGCTGATCTTAAACTAGTGAAGTGCGAAAATTGCAATCTTCACTTATGTTTCTAAAAAACAGGTGCCTGATGGAACCTTTCAAGGTTCTAGCAGCGATGCAGAGCCTTTTAAGGTTCGATAGTTTTTGCACTGAACCATCACAGAGTGAACATTTTTTCATAGAGCAGGCGGACATCTGGTTTTTTGAGTGAGAAAATGATTATTTTAGCATAATATGGTCTTACTATGTGTCAGATATTAGTAGAAGTAAAAAAGGTCGAATTCGAATAAAAAACTTTTTTGGACAAAAAATTCCTTAGGTGGACCCTCACCCTGAATCTTTGTCAAAAAATGTTTTATTTGTAAAATGAACAGACTACCCTAGTGAATGTACTTGCATACAGGTACTTGGTCAAGTACCCTCGGAAGTTTTTTTCAAGTACCCGTGGAAATTTTCAAATAACAAATACCCACTTCCAAGTACATTCACTAGGGTATAAATCATTCGATGCAGTTTTTCACGCTGATTCCGAATATTACATTAATTTTCAATAAAACAATATTTTAAAAAAAGGTTCTAGCAAGAACCTGTGTTTTTTCTATTGAACCATTTTGCAGCTGCAGTCATCCTGCGTATCTGTGTTAAAGGCTAACATATAGACATTTTCTCTTTGTTCAACTCTCTTTGTCTCTTATATTCTCTCAATATATTTCTGTATTTGTACAATGTGATATATATGTTCTCCACTCTGTTGTCTATACTGTACGCTCTTTAAACACGGTGTCCTCTAAGTTCGTTTTAAATTAGTTTCTCTCAATCAGCCCCATAGTTTTTTTTCTCATTTTGTCCTAAGTAATTTTCCACATAATTTTTATTTTCAGTTGGTCCCAACTAAGTTTGTACATATATTTTACGCTTAGTTCGTTCATATTTTTAAAGTATAATTTTCTAAATTTTATTACCTTATTTTTCATATCAAGATCTAATTAACTTATTGCAATGAAAATTAACAGCACATCGTATCTTTCTACACTCTAAAACATAAGTGTCATTTACTAAACCTGCTAAAAAAATCGTTATAAACCCTAAGGGTTTATAATCATTAGAATCTATAAGGTTTAGTAAAAAAAGTCTTAAGCGTGCAGGAGATAACCTTTTGAGTTTTGTTGCAGTCAAATGTTCTATATATTTATATATATCTATATATATATATATAGCCATTGTGCGCAATGCATGCTGGATCGCACACCCATTTGCAAAAGCTGCAGAATAGTAATAATTTTAAACTCAAATTAAAGAGTATACCAAACAAAGGCACTTATCAGAGAGGTTCCTTGGAAAATAAGAATAAAATCAATTTGTTAAAAAGCGGGAAAACTTTCGTAATTACAAAAAAAAGAAGTGAACAAGCAGAAAAGGAGACTAGGAAAACTTGGTCAATCCCTGTCTACACAAGCAGCTTTTCATGTGCTGCTTTCTTATTGTGCCTGTAATTGACTGAGTAGCGTGGTATCTTCTCTGCATCTGTTGAGATATTTTTATTGGTTGCCTCCTTCCGTATTTTTTCTTGTTACATTGCGGAAAACATAAGCAGCAGAGATGGTGCCGAGTATGATTTCTTCATTTGTAGGTTGCGGCATGAGTGAAAAAAATTCTCGAGGGAGTTGCTTACCTGGCAAAAAAATTTCTTTAAAACGGATTTTAGTTGGTTTTGGTGTCTGTGAAAATAACCTTTTATAGAAAGAAGAGTTTTTTGAAAGCAAAGAAAAATATTTTGTCTTATATATAAGACTCTAACTAATAAAACATTTTTTAAAAATATTTAATCACTGCACAAGCAACAGCAAGAAGAATTTATGTATATTTTCAGTGTTTTCCATCCAAGTATCTATTAAAATAGTGACGAAAAAAATTTCTTTTTGTCATTCAGACATATCCAATTTTGTTGCTATCACATCGATGTAGGTGTGAGATGAAACACATCTGCATATAGAAGTTCGATATAGATAAAGTAGGAAAAACTAAGTATTATTCTTTCTTTACAGATTTTCAATTTCAATCAATTTTAACCTTCCAGTCATTTAATATTCCACATCCAAACTGTTCAAAATGCGAATTATCACTGTGGCTATGTTTATTCTTATGATATCATTAACAGTCCTATCATTACCAACTGGTGAACGTGACACATTATCATCACTGGCTAAACCTTGTACAGTGGCATGTGGTCTTTATTGTCAATGGGGTTACGCAGGATGTTGTCATTGTAAACCAAATCCATTTGGAAACTTACTCAATTTAGAAGGTTTGACATTTCCAAAAGATCAGTGATTAAAGTAAAGAACGTATGTGCTGTGTTTTTTAAAGCAAATATTTTGAATAAAGTATGAATGAATGACTTCAATGCGTATAAAAAAACTACAATAAAGAGAATTTATTTGTCTTTCACAATACTAAAAAAGCAAAATAAGTGATATACATCCTTCAGCAAACTTTAGTACATCAAGTAGAGCATCGTTTCTAACTCTATGCATGTCTATATATATATATATATATATCTATAGTAGAATATCTTTTTGGACGGATGAAAAATATATAATTCTTGAATAAATTCTGAAAAAACTAGTTTTAGTTTGTAACCATTGATGATCCGCCTTCAAAGTAGTCCAACATGTTTCTAAAATAGGCATCACGTGATGGTAAATTTAACATTGCATAATGATCATGATTTGGTTCCGCATCTAAACGTAATCCCAATTGTGTAGGTATTGCTGATTTTGATATTGGCACCTGTTGAATATCAAATATTTCTTCTTTAATGCCATCTGGACGAGTATAACGTTTATACGTTGGAATATATCTCATAGCAAATGTTTGCTCTAATGGAAATGTTGGATCTGCACTATGCAATGTTGGTGCACTATGTGGACGCGATAAATACATCATGGTGGAATTGGATTTAAATATTGTTGATGGATACAAACGTCTAAGATCTGAATGTGATGGAAGACCTAATGGTCGCTCATCTTCACGTAGACGTTTTCGACAAAATTCACATGGACATGTTTGAATTGGATTAGTATCACCCGTTTTCAACTGAATATAGCGATGAGCAGCGTGAACAGAGCACGGTGGTAAAGTGATATCAGTAGATGTTGATACCATTGAGCAATTGCATCGATCATACACGCGACTATGATGGATGGTTTCACCAGTTTTAAATTGCAAATGAGTACGTCGAAACTGATTCCAATCAAATATTGGCTCCATAATTCGAGCATAAATATTAGGCCATTGAAATTTAAATGGATTTTCAATAACAACGGTCGATTGAGGGAACGAGTCTGTTGACGTGGAAGACATTTTGACTTAATCTAAAGTGAAGAAGAATATTTTGAGAAAAATGTGAGAGAATCAACTGTTAGAACGGATATACAAAATTAAAATCAAATTACACATAAAATGTATAAATATGGTATATCATTAAGCAAAGGAGATACAAGCAAATATTTAACAATCAAACATCATACCTTTACCTAATTTTGTTTGTAAATAAGAGAAAAACTTCTTTTCTCCTCAGAACATACCTGGTCTATCCTATTGACACAACAACATGATTTGTCACGTTAAAGCAGAAGTTAGAAGAAGAAGGAAAAAGCAAAGTTGAAGTTGTGTATAAAATATCTGTGAGAATCTTAATCAAATAAGAATAATCCAAGTATTTTGTACTTTAAAAAAATGTTAAAACAGCAGCAAACTAAAAAAAGCAGATGATACAATCAAGAGAAAATGGAGAGAAAGCAAAGCCATAGTCAGTTCATGCAACTCACGCATTCTTCTTACAGTGCCATGTTATAGAAGTAATTATTTCGATGATACGTTCGTGTTGGTTTCTTTGTTGATAACGGTGGTAGATAACCACTGGTAGTTAAAACTGGTGCTGATGCAGGTCTTATCTCTCTCGCATCTTCCTTGGGATCTCGTTTTAATTCCCACTGGACTTGCTTGTTGAATAATTCATTAGAACATAGCCGATACGATGGTGTATAATTCCATCGTGCTTCCTTGTGTCTATAAAATGTATCACCGGTCTTTGCCGAACCTCTCAGATGATAATGTGGATAACGATCAAGTAATTCATGATATATTTGATATTTACCAGCTGGATGTTTTAACGAAAACTCGATTGATAATGGATCAGTGATAAGAAATTTATATGTTGTATAATCCTCGTGCATTGGGCATTTCATAATCATTGTACAACAACAATGTTTATAGGGATTTTTAATATCAACCTCATCACTCATTGGCCAATGTCGTGTTTCAAATATATCACGATCAATAAGAGTTCCAGCTCCATGACTAGCCAAAGCATAATCAACCATTTTTATTTAGATCTGAAGAAAAAAATATTTCTTGTAAACATATTAAATATTATACTATGAAAATAAACTGAATTTAAAGTCAATCCTTCATCTGCTGTAAAATAAATTTGTATTAATTATGATAGAACAATAAACTTATATACATACTTACAGACAACGTAACTCGCACTGAGTCTGATAAAAAACCACTGATCAGAAAAATGTTTCTGGCAAAAACTACAGACTTAGCATCTGTCTCAATTGGAGCTACTTCGTATACGTAATAGTGTTTCCTTGTTTGCGCACATTTTCTCTAATATACGATATCTTTCATATTTTTTATACAGGACAACAGATACTGTTTTTTACAAACATAGACTCACTAGACAGATCACTTATCTATTCTTTAACCGTAAAAGATAGAATCTGATCTCGAGTCGATTTTAGCATTCAAGAAAAATTTTCAAGAACATATCAACTCAAAATTTGTTACACATACGATAACCGACTGTGAAGAGTCTGAATCTGCCAGTTCGAATAAGCTTTAAAAATTTCTTCAGTAGATTGATATAAGTGAAAAATAATATAATCATTTACTAAATATCGACTATTCATATAGTGCAGGAACGACTAAAATATAACGAAGATAAGAAAAGTTAATTAGAACTCAACCTTGAAATTTTTGAGTTCTTCAGCACTTTCACCAATAGTTCAACCCTTTTAAAAGCATTTCGACTAGTCGTAATTTGGGCATCCAACTATTTACTGATTAGTCAACTCGTCATAGAATAGTGTTTTGATTAGCATCTTGATTAGTGTTTTTACTAGTCGAGCTTTTAAATGCGTAAGGACAGCAGAATAACACGTGTAAAGAGACCTGTTGATGACTTGTCGAACCAAACAGTTATAATGATGTTTACTTATTTTTTTGTTTTTAAAAACATTTGATCAGCCATAATTATTACATTCGAGTTTCGTTGCGTATCAACCATTTCCACGATGAATAACCGCAAGAGCAAAGTACGGTGAATTTAATAAATGCCTGGCTTTCAAACTGCTAATTTGAATAATATATTTATTGCCCTTTGAAAATTTGTTTCGAAACATGAACGATGCTATAACGGGCACTTCAAATTGATTGCTATTGGTTGAGATCTGTATCCAATTACTAACAATTATGAACAGCACATGAGTAGACAATAAAATAATATAAAACAGGTGCATGCTAAAAAAAGGAAAAAAA